ACATAAAATTTGCTGAAAATATGCAACATTTGACAAAAAATATAGAATTTTCATAAAAAAATGCACCATTTGCTAGGAAATCAGAATATTTGACAAAATTTGATTTTAATTGACAATGTTATAACAATTTTATGAAATGTTGTTACAATGATATCACATTGGAGATAAAATGTGGCATTTTCATAAAAATGCACCATTTGCAAGAAAATTGAAACATTTGACAAAAAAAAAGCAAAATTTGATTTCAATGACAATGTTATAACAATGTTACGAAATGTTACGAAATGTTACATTTGAGATATAATGTAGCATTTTCCCAAATTTTCATAAAATTTGCTAAATCGGACAATATTGTAACAATGTTATTCCAAAAAATTGCTCAGTGTAATGCAGCATTTTCCACAATTTCCCACCATTTTCCAGAAAAATGTGGAATTTGCATTTTTTGAATTTTGGACAATGGTGCCCCTTCGACCTGTGCCACTACTGTTGCTAGAAATGAGACGGTCTCGCTGGCTGACGAAATTAAAAAATATGACACGGCCAAGCTTATAGAATATTTGCAGGGGCAGGACTTAGGTCTTGACGAGGATGACGAGAAAATACTTCACAATGAAAAGATTAAAGGCCAGGACTTCTTTGACTTGACCGAAGAAAAGCTTGAGAAATGGGAGATGCTGGGTGGATCTGCTATGAGACTCGTGAAGTTCGCTAAGGAGTGTAAAGATAAAAAGTTGAGGTCGTTCTCCTCGTACAAGACTAAGAAAAAGTTGAGTGAAGTGTTGGAGAAATATGGGATTGTTAGCTGTAATATAACTCGCATTCTACAGTTCATACCACGTAAGTAATATCAGATTAAAGGAGTTCTTTTTTATATATTTCGAGCTCACATATCATAATATAGCCATCCATACTATCAACGAAAGCGCACCCGAATTTAAGCTATATATTGACGACATCCTTCGTAGAATAAAAAATATGGTCCAGTTGTAGATAGTAATGAAGCTATGCAGTGCGAGTATATTTCAACGATCTTACATACAGCTGTAAGTATGGTAATCACATCTCAGGCAAATATAATTGGTGAAGAAAACACAGGCTGTGTCGACTATGCCATCAAAAAATTATCAGCGAGATGCTGAAGGAAATAATTTGCATAACCGAAGGCAAACAGAATCAAGCAACTATAGGTATCTACCAAAACTTACTACAATGCCGAAGTGCTTGCGATGTAAGTATGACAAATTCTACTAGCTCGCTCGCTATAGGATGATCATGGGCTATTGCTAACTTACTTCTCTATTTCTCTCAGATGAATATAAATATGAACAAGAAAAAAAAAAAGGTGGATGATGCATTCGATCCCGACTACGACTACGTCTATGGTATAGTCAGTACTGGAACTGACTGGTACTTCATTCTTCACAGCACTGAAGGTATCTATAGTACGAGCAGGACTGAATACCGAATTTCACTAACAGAAGACGCTCTCAAAGATGATACAAAATTGCGTAAGAATGTGAAGAGGGTTTTAGAAGTGATTGTAGGATTATTAAAGGATAGAGCAGTAGGTAGTGAGGAACTCGCAACTAAGAAGCGCCGTGTAGAAGAGATAATCAAGAAAAAATAATTGTATAGGATACTAGCATAGACGTCATGTATCCCGGGCTACGACCCGAAACTTTGTATTTATTTTTCACATATAATAATAAAAAATTTTCTTGGCATTTTTCGCTAATGGGCTGTGAGGAAAAATCACATGATATTTTTTATTTTGAATGCTTATATACAGTGTATTAGTTATACATATAGATCATGTCATCTGAGCTTGAAGTATTGAAACAGCGTATCACTGAACTTGAATTTAAGAACGTCAAGCTTGAGGCTGAGAATGCAGAGCTTAGGAAGGAGAATACTGAAATCTCCTATCTTAGAAACAAGCTCTCAGTGTCTGATGCTGAAATAGTTGAACTTAAGCGCAGGAATGCTGAATTTCTAAGAGCGAATAAAGAATATAACAAGAGGCGTGATGCTGATAATGCCAAACTCAGGGCCGAGAATGCTGAGTTTAGAGATAAACTCACGAAAGTGGAACAGAAGCAGACTCTGCAAAGCACCTTAACGGCAAATGATAATTCTTCTAACATCAGTTCATCTAACTTCAATTTGGTCACAAATCAGGTGCCAACGGTAACACATCACGAGAAACCATTGGTGGATACTTCATTACCTGAAGACAAGGAAACGGACGCTTTCTTGGATGAGAAGTATAAGAAAAAGGTTAGTAATGAGATTAGGCAGAAAAATCGAGAAAAGAAACTTTGCTTTAGCACCTTTGGCCAAACCCAAGAGTCCCTTCCAACACATCCCGAAGAGAAAATGTCTCAAGTTCTCAACTCGGTCACTCAGCCATGCAATAGCACGTCATCAGAAGAAAAGATATGTAGCGAACTGGATTCAAAGTGCAAGAAGGGGAAGAGTATGGACAAGCTTAAGCAAGAATTATTTGCTTCGGAGTTGTCTTCATAAGAGCCATCAATAGAACAAAATCATGTGACCGAAATTTCCGAGACATTATGTCCAGGAAAAGTTACCTCTGATAAATCCAGCATTGATGAGGCCTCACAATATCTAGCTCAGTTATGCGATAAAGCTTTTGATGCTGAAGATAAAGCCAATCGAGCTAATCAGGAAGAAATTTTATACTGGTACCTCTATGCGAAAGATTTCATAATTCAGCTCAATGGAATCATAGAAAGTAATGGAGGTAAATTTGATGAAAAGAAGGCAAGAGGCTTACTGTATGATTCCATTACAAAACAGCTTAATTTGCTTCGTAAACAGAGATCCCAAGAAACGGGATTACAGCTTCGAGGTGTATCACAAAATAGTTTGCGCAAGAAAACCCAGAGAGCTAAGAAAGTCTATAAATTTATCGAACAAGTGGGCTTAGATAAAATCAAGTATATCAAATCTTATAGTGCAACTTCTATTTCAGAGCTTACTAATGAGCAAATTCAAGATGTTATAAATTATGGAATATCTTCGGAAAAATTACCTCTGGTAACGGATCATGTGACTGAAATTTCTGAGACATTATGTCCCAGAAAAAATTTGCCTGTAAATACTCCCGATCAGAATAATGTATTAGAGGTCTTGTTTCCAAAGGAATCAACTGCACATATCCCATTAGCCCATGACTCAGTCCCAAAGAGACCCTCTAATTCTTCTGATAATTCCAAGGAAGAGGCGTGGTTTGATGAAGATATGTTTTTCAATGAGGCGAATCCCACTAAAGTGAACACTGTCACTTCAGACGATGATGTGTATTTTGGTAAGGCGAACAAAGTTAATAAGCACGATGGCGACCCCAATTCAATTAATGATGACTCTGATTCCGATAGTAATTCTGAAGATGAGATTCCAGACGATTCAGATGATGATGGATATGGTGGATACGGTGGATATAATGAATATGGTGAATGTGATAGAGGTTATTACTATCGCGATGAAGGATACGAAAGAAAAACCTCCCCAATGATGAGTCCTATTATCTCTCCGGTAACCGCCTAAGAGAATTATTGGATAAATTGCATATTCACATAGACTGAATTATACTGTATTTCTTTTTTTCAAATCACATAGGTGGCTTAAATATAGTGCACAGTAAAAAGTCATCTGCAGAATATTTTATGCACAGTAGTACGTCACCGGCATCCGCAGTCATTATTTTTAGAGGATCTATTAATAACTCCGGCCAAGAGAATTATTTTTGTGTTGCTATACTGATGAACTTTCCCCAGCGCCAAGCCAAAAGAAGTTTTGGTATGTTCTTTCTCGCTCATTACGCAGTTCTGAATTACTAATAAAAAATAACACATCCTGATTTACATGCTGATCGTAAGACAGGGCGTCGTTAAAAGAAATTCAAAAATAGAAATAGAGCTGATTAGAATCAATGATTTACAGATCCTCAGATAAACGGTAAATTTTTATTATCCTAGTTTTATTAGCGCATTCAAATTACGTATACAGGTTAATCACATATTAATCTGTTTTTTGAATAGGAATTAGTTGTACATGTGCGATTCGTCATCTACAGACCTCAATCCATTCATTTTATATTCCTTTTTTGTGATTACAATTGAAATAGGGGTTGTGAACTCAAACAAAGATGCGCTTACATGCACCACATGCGATCTTCTATTTTGTAAGAGATCTTGGAAATAAATGGAAAATTTTGAGATATGGCATTGCTCTATTAGTATTAATATTAAGTTGTCATAAAACCGTAATTCGTCGAATTTAATTTTAAGCCGTATTGTTAAATTCAGGGAGAGACATTTGTTATTATTAGACGGGATCCAGGCCGTCATTTTATTGCTTTAGGTGGAAAAAAATATAATTATGAAAAAATATAATAATGACAAATACACATAATGAAGCAACGTAATTTTTTATTTGATCTATTTAAATCGGGTTAAATTCTCTTTTCGCGCGTAGTAGATATACAGTATAAAATAAACCTTTTTCCCAGCACATTTACGCAAGATAACTGATATAAAAAAATTATCTAAAAAATTCTGATCCACCAATAAGCTTCTCTATATATTTACTACGCATCAATTTACCTAATCATGTCCAGTTTGTCATTGCTCAACTCTTCTGGAAGCATACCATTTTTGGTTTTAACCGCTGTTTTTTTGTTCGTTAGTCCAGCGATATTCGTAGGGATCGTCACCATCTAAAACAAAAGATCTCTAATGAACTCTCCGCACGTGTCATCAAAATTGTCAACGATCTTGGTATACTAAATAATATACCGGAAATCGGAAAGAGGCCACTTCATGACCAGATCTTTACTGAACTTAATGATAAATTTGTCACATGTATTTCCGATATTAATCCTACTTTCACTGCAAAGCTCGGCAGAATCAATAATGATCTTAATAATAAATTTAACGAAGAAGTTAATGCGGGGTTTGGCAAAATTAATACCGAACTTAATAGTAAACTTACCATGGAAGCCGAAAAAAAAAACAAGGCACGTGATGATGACTTCACTAGGAAGGCGCAGAAAATTTTGAATAACATAACTACGAAAGTTAAGAAGCCTGCCGTAATGAATTTGGCAGAATTAATGTTGTTATCGAAAATCTCCAAAACGAAATAAATCAACATTACACAATAGTTCAAAGATCCAATTTTGACCAACAAAGTGTGTCCAATGAATCTGAAGCTAATTCGACCAATGAATCTGAAACTAATTCGCGAGGCTCTTCAAGTAATTCATCTCCAAGCTCTTCTTCTGGGAGTTCCAATTTATTTGGAATTTTAGATATTACTTCAGACATTAAAATTCGCTTTAAACAACACTTTGATCGACTTATGAAGGCGAGGAATTATACTTTTGATGAGATGTGCTTCTCGGTAGTAGTTGATATTCGTAGTCTTGGAGGAAATATTAAGATTTCAACAGTGAAAAATTTTTATAATGGTGTTAGTGGTAGTAAAGTTAGCACAGTTAAACAGATAAACGCATGGGTAGCTAGTTTTAATAATAATGCAGAGTAGCGGGAAAGGAACTGCCATTATATGAGTTGGGGCTCGGCAAATTCCTCCCTTGAAACAACCTGCTACTCCAATATCTTTTATTAGTTTCATTTTTTTTTACATAGCCGGCCGGCCTTTTCTCATGTATTACTTACATTACGAAAAAAATATAATAAAGATTTCGCTTCTAATTTTTTAAACGGGTGTGTTTTATTTGTATATACGTTCTCAAATATAAATTTTGCATTCGCTTATCAATGAGAAATAATTTGCCCATATCTGGTTTGTAATGAAAAAATTAAGCGTCAAAAGAGAGTTAAGAAATAACTTGATACTGAGACTCGCGTTAAATTGCCTAGGATTCCGCGTATCTACATTTCATTTACTTCCCCTAGCAAATTTCAGTGCTCCCTTTATTATTTAGTGCGAGCAGTAATCCAATTTTTGAGGTGACCGACCGGCACGTGATCCGTGTGTGATGCATGTGTCAGTTTTTGTGGCTTAGACTCAAGATTAATATATAAGTCGAACCTCACCTAATCCTCAGCTAATCTCTAACAAAATGTCACAAATACCACCTCAGGTGCATGAAACAATAGAACAGTTCTTCAAGAGTAGCTCGACTTGGTCACTATTTTCGTTTCTCCAGTACAGAGAGGGTGTAGACGATTTCACATGACAAAGTGAAAGAGCATATGTTATACAAGAGTGCTCTGAATTTGTTATCCAAAGATCACGATCAAGCTCGAAAGTGTCTTCTTAATTTTGAGGTTAAGTATTGTATTTATTAGCGATTAAAGTAGACGAGTCATGGTTGGGTTCAAAGACTTGAATACATTTCAGTCCCGAGACAAATACGTGATGTATTGACAAACCCTGAGTAGCCAGCTGAATTCGCTTTGGCGGGTGAGAGTGGAGTTCGTCTTCCCTCAGGCGTCCTTGAATAGACTTCGCGTTATTGCCATAACGCAACTGGATGGGTTCGTCCCAACTGGTTGTTAGACTTCGTGTTGTGTTATGGTCCACTTTGATTCGTCAATAATACGGGTAGTTTCAAAAATAGGTTATTTAACTTTGCGTCCTCGTCAATGTTGGAATTATCCCTCCCATTATCTTCATTATTCAAGACTGCATACGCCTCATTAATATTTGTTTTCTTTTCTATAAAAGAATGAGAGATCTTCTGGGAATGTCCACAATTTCTGGACAACGATCGAAAAAAAACGCTACGGGGATCGAATTGGCATCGCAAGGGTAAGTGAAAAATACAGTGATTTTAGAGTATTAGTTTCAACATGATGATCCTAATTACTAATATGACTATGTTATAAGGCTGATGGTGTCTTACGCATGTTAGAAGGCACGACCGCTGGTCAACAGCATGTTTTTAATATTCAGCAACAAGACCTCCTCGGTCTATACCAATCCGGCGACAATGATTTGGTAATCTACTGTGTATTTCCTTATCTCCAAAACTTGGCGAATTGATTTACTTATACCTATTTAGACAAATACATCTATGTTGTCATTGTCAAATATTTTAAATCATCCAGGAAAGCGCAAGTCTGAGGGAGATCATCAGCCCAAGACACCACCTATGAGACCTCGTAAAGTAACTGTTACGACCCCAGAAAAGCCAACCCTTTACAAACACACTATGCAACACCTGGCTAAACATTTTTCAGTCTACGTTAACAATCAATGTGTGATAATGAAAGTAGATCATGTTGATCTAATTCCGAAAGAAATTCGTATTTGGATTGTAAATGTATTATCAGTAAGTATACATAAATCTTTTTAGGTCTTATGTTAAATATTATTAAAAAAAAATTTATTAACTACCAGTCAGAAAAAGATGTGTTCGAAAGCAATATTATGGCTCCACTAAATTCAACTCAAGCCCATCCATTTCAACAAATCTGCAAAACAATTTTATATGACTTGTGAGTATATTATCATGGTCTTTACATCCCTTTTAGCACAATTGGCTAATTCACCTGTCTGAAATAGCTTTTCCATGACTGATAAAGGCCCATTAAATCGTTTTATTGGAGAAAGGAAGTATACCGTGGATAGGATAGTGCCTTTATTCAAGGCGATTCAATCGGTATATCGAGAGTATTCATTTGATTGGATCGAAGTACAAGCAAGTTGCATAAAAGATATAAAAGAATTGTTTCCAGAATTCGATTTCACACTAAATAAAGTTGATGGAATTGGTTCTAAGGTTTCAAGCAATAAAGAAATGAAGTTTCTGGAGGACCGGAGAATGCTGTTATGAAACACGTCAAAGAGGATACTGAAAAACTCATCAAGGAGGCTATGTTTGGTTTGATCTCTTTGCTTAGAGGCTACTTAGGTAAAGGCGCGGAAAAGGCAAGAAACATATGCGTATATATGGTGCAATGTATAGGTAATATACTTACTGTCTTATAATTATAATTTCTTTTAATCCATACAAATCTTATTTTTGTTGTTCACGTTAGGTGATCGAATTGAAGCATTTTTATAAGATTTCGCAGATTAAGTCTGCTGTGCTACCGTTTTCTTTCGATGAAGTTGAAAAATTCATAGAGGTTTTCGAACTATTATATGCTTTAATAGTAAGTATTTTCTATATGTATGTCATGGATATTATAGGAACTTTAGTCTAACTTTATGTTTTTGTTCTCAGGATGGACTTAAAAAACAAACAAGAGAACTAAAAAAATTAATGCTTGCTGATCCTATTAGTAATGTACCCACAATTCGGGATTGGATCTGGGTCCCAAAAAATCTTTCAATGTGGGAAGCTACAGAAGTTATATATGAAGATTTCGACTATGAAGATTTGAACTATGACTATGAAGACTAATTTTTTATTCTATAAACCTTGTCAAAAGCCACTTCAGTTATATCAAAGTGAAATCATGCTATATAATGTAAATGTAAGATATTAAAAACAATAAACATATAATAATAACGCAATTTTTCTTGGCAAAACTCGTGAACTACTGCGCCAACTGTTTTTTCAAGTGTGACCATCCTGAAAATTTTCCGATTTTGAAATTTCTACTTACCTAATCACACTTGATGAAGTTTTAGCCATGTATGCTTATTATTTCTACCTTATCAATTATTTTTAAACTTGTGTATCTTATAAATGCTACACAGTATATGAACTGCTTAGCTACTGCGCAAAATCTGATTGGCCGATCATCTTGTGATTTGAGTTGCGGGAAGGTTGCGAGGAAGTTCCGGGAACTGACTGGGAGCCAGGGTGATACAAATTTTTATGTTATACATCATGCAAAGCGCCTCCGGCTAATCCCTATTAATCACGATAGATCATGTAAATATAAAATTAGCTTAGCCGAGATATAAATCCGACTTTGTTAACAATAAAAAATGAATTTTGGATTTACTAGCATGTAGTCTCACAAATCGGCTACAAATCAACTAATCGCTAATCAGTAAATCCGTATAAATTTGAATGGTGATATTATCTAGTATAAGTTGCTAAAGAATTGTCAGAATTCATTAAAAATACTATAAATCGTTAAATATGTCAGGAACTCATATTAACAGACCAAGGCCTAATAAGTGTATTGACATTATTTTAGACAATGATTATAATAAAATTGTGCCTAAACCCATCAATCTTCATCCTGGATACGATATTGAATATATTAGAAACAAATATGGTTTTCATTATCCTGGTCAATTCGAAAAGATGATTGAGGTGGAAAAAAGATATGATAATTTATCTATTATTAGTTCGTATGAAACTCCTCAGCAATGGGCTATTCGTGTAAAAGACGCTTTGCAAGCATTGATTACTGAAGGCCATAAAAGTTATTATCATGTATTCTGCCTTTTCAGATCATCTGGACAAGGAGTAACCAAGACATACTATAGTAACTACGAAGGGAGAGAAGTTGCCATTGGTTATCACAGACCTAATATTCACAATAGCAAAATGGCTATTTGTTTCGATTGTTGGAAATTAGTAAAGATCACTGATGAAAAACCAAAAAAGACATATTTCAGTGGATGGCGGAGATATGGGTATAAGATTAAGCCTGAAGATTTGATGAAGAATCATTGGGATAACTCATGTTCCAAGACTAATAAATATATAGAAGCCTATCTTCTTGCAAGATCAAAGTCAGAAATATTGTGTGAAAAATCTTCTGACCAGAGGGGGGTATTATATCCTGAAAAAATTACACCTGATTCCCTCCTGCAGTTTGATAGAACAAGTGGAAGCGAAATATTTATCTCATCTATATATGCAAAACAAAAAAACTTAACCCATCTTAATCAGCCAAAAGGCACTGCGTTAAGATTGAGAAATGGAACACTAATCACAATTGTCTAACTGACTTGACTGATTCTGAGAAATATCTTAATTATAGACTATTGCTTTTAACTGAAAATTAATATTATTTAGCCAAAGGTGCAATGTATAACTTATTCTTTATTTTTTATGCTAAATAATCTGCATACATGATCGCCTAGTAAAATTGGTCGAATGCGCTATAAATGAAATATATCACCTGCCAAATTTTCCAGATTAGTCCTTAACCCAGATCCTAGTTAAGATCATGCGCTTTCTGAGGATCAATATAAATCAAAGGTTCTCCCATTCTCTTTTATAATCACGAAAAAAGAATGTCATTTCACAGATCTCACCCAAGGCAGAGAAAAACATGTGAAGAACATAAAGCTGAGCTGGAAGAAGAGAATTATCATCTTCGTAATGAATTGCAGATAGAAATTGATACTAATCACCAAAATGAGAGACAAATTAATCAACTGGAACGAGATTATGCCTGATGTGAGCAAAAAATTCAAGATCTCAATAGGGAGATAGAGCGCCTTGAAAATGCTTCGAAAGAAAAGATAGTAGAGTTAAAATCTGAAATCTCCAGTCTGAAATTAAAAGCAACTATATCAAGCTAAGAAGGATATTTGTGATAATGAAAAACATATTTCTAGTATAGAAAATCAGTTAGTAAATTCTGAGGAACAGGTAGAGAAATTGCGATGTCGGATCAGAACCATTTCATCACAAAAAAATTTGCCAGAACAAGGGAATTCTTTAGACTTGTATAATCCTAATATTAACTTAGAAATGGCTATCATCACAGAGCTAGCAAATGCTATAGATGGTTATCTGAATAATACAACAATAGGTAGAGAAATCTTGGCTGATCAAATAAAAAGGGCGACAAGGCAGATTTGCTGAAAAGAGAATAATTTGCATTAGGATTTAGTCCGTGAGCAACAAAGGCGATATGATGTAGAGGCTGAGCATGATAATGAAATTATATGAAGGCAAAATGCTAAAGGAGTGGAACAAATGGTTATTGCTGACCTTTATCAGTTGCGGACCAATGCTCGAAATCAAGTAAATAGAATGTTAGACAATATAACAGGAAAGCGAATCTGTATTGGTATATTGCTACAGGAAAAATTTGCCTTACAATTGCTATATCAGCAAAATGCCCATCACTTACAGCGAAGTAGAGGGAATATAGGTCTGTTAGAATTTAATTGTGATAGGCTCTATGAGCGATACGAGAAATGGAAAAATAAGACCCAAGCAGAGCGACAGAATAATTTAAATTTGCAGGAACAAATTTTGGCACTTCAGAATAATCTACCTAATCAAGTAAACATGGCAGGAATACCTTATTCATATTTTGACTGGGATGATAGTATCCCAGACTTTCTTGCACAACTTAGACTAGACTTGCAGAATCAGGGAATAGATCCAAATGATAATGCAGCAAGTCCTCCAACAGGAAGAAATAATGCAATAGGACATTTAAAAGCCGTTATGAGAGGAAGGACTTTAGAATGGTTTGATGATGAGATTACTACAAAGCAGAATTGGGAGCTAACTAACTTACTCGATAATACAGGGCAGGCTAACTTAGTTGCAGTAAATGGATGAACTGCAGTACAGATAGGAGCTAATGCATTAAATGAGGCTGTTGGCCAACCAGGAAATGCAATATTCAAATTAAGAGCTGTAGAAGATGCTTAGAATGAAGACTGGCATATAGCAGGTGGCCGTCCTACTAATGCTCCTGTAAATGCACCAAATGCTAATGCTGGAAATACAGTAGTTATAGCTGGTATTTGATTTGGTCAAGCCGTATGGTGGCTAAAAACTCATTTCCTTACAGTAGAAGAGGAACTTTGGGATTTCATGTATAGAACAATTAGAAAGGGAGACATGACTATAGATGAATTATATAGAAAAATATTATGAATAGATAGACGAGCCAACTATAGACCTGAAGAATTACGTAGAAAGTTCTTAGATGCTTTACCACTTTTATTGCTTAAAAAAGCTGAAGATATTGGTGAACATTTGCCATTAGATGAATTAGCTAAAAAGCTTTATGAGATAGAATTACGCCGAATAGCTAGACATAAAAGCGATAGAACATCTGATCTGTTAGTATCTAATCAAACATCTCGGCAAATATATGAACTTTCACCTGTTTCAGCCTCACAACAGCATGGAATATCTTTCGAAGATATGCAAAAAGCAATCCAGAATGCACTAGCACAGCAAAAAACTGAATACCAGTCTTTATTAGAAAAACAAAAAGCCGATTTCCAATCACAAATGGTCTAGTAAACTAAAAAGATACCTCCACCAGTTCCTCATAAAAATATGGAACAGCTTCTTGATACATATGAAAGCGCTAATTCTTTCCCTGATACACTTACTAGGGAAGAAATAATGAGAGTGGTCGTAAAAGCTTATGGACTACCTCCTAAACCGCAAAAGCCAGAAAAGTTGCAATCATCTAGAATCGATAGATTAGAATCAAAAATAGATGAAATTGGTCAAATGACATCTAAGTTTGGTAGGATATCACTTAATGATCAATCTCGAAAGCCTTTTTATTGCAGTAATTGTGGACAGGAAGGGCATAAGAAAAACAATTGCCCAAGATTAAATCCTGTAGCTAAATCCAATTTTACTCAATATTACTATCTTCAACTTCTATCTACACAGCCCCAATATACGCCTCCAGATTCAGATAATGAGGAAGATGGTTATGACAAAGTAGAAAATGGGTGGTATTATGCATCAGAAAAAAAAAACAGGTAAATGATAAGTTGACCAGTGATACTAATGCAATCTCACCCCTAGAATCTAGCCAACCTGAAATGTACGATCAGCTATTGTCCAAGCTCTCACCACCGATATGAAAAATGTGCTTGTCTCGAAAGGCTCAGGAGGAGGAATCGAAAGAATCAGATGAGTGGTTGTCATCTTTACAATATCTGAATGCTAATATAAATGATTTAATTATTTCCAAATCTTTTTTAGATACTGCCAGTGAGTTCGGTCAGTGGTATAAATGACCCAGCAATCAAGGCGCTTGGATGGAAGGCTGATAAACCATCTAATTTTGCTATAAAGGGCAATTCCAAGCATATCACCGATTCATTAGGATGGTATACAGACGTGCCAGTTACTTTGAAGGATAAAGAAGATAAGACGGTCACAGTTATTGGAAATTTTGTTCGTATTGATAATGGTGAAACAGAACCAATGCTATTTTTTGATATGTCAAACATTCGAAAAGTTCAAGGCGTTCCCGATCTAAATAAAAACCAGTTTCGCATAAAGTTACATGGAAAGGTATATATTATCCTAACTTTTAGCAAGGCTTCGGTAGTCAAGGATCCGCTAAAAGAAGATCAGGACCAAACATCTACCAACTCCTCTAGCCCAAATAGTGAAGAGAACTTAAAAAAAAGTGCGTAAAGCTTGAAGAGCAACTATTAAAAACTGAGAGATGGCTTGACATGGCATTAAATGCAGGTAATATTCTTGCAGAAAAATGCTTACGACTTATGGAGAATAGATCAAATGCATGACAGCTTCTCTAGTAATATTTACTAATTTATTAAGATCAAATTCCCGTCTAGATATATCATCTTTAAAAGAATTGGCTACTTTATCTGCAGAAGAAGATTCATATTTTGGCTTTATACTAGCTTTTTTTTTCGACTAACTTTATCTTTTCGCCCATTAGTTACTGTATTCAGACCATTAGAATTTGCATCATTCTCATTATCCATAGGATATTCCGTATGAGTGATCCTGTCTTCTTGTATGATAGTAGAGGAGGAAGTATCATGTAAAGATTCCTGATTATTTTCTGAAATCTGGTCAGAGATGCTGACAGATTCTATGATTCTGCGCCATTTCTCGGTAGGTTCAGGAAGCCTCTTATTATCAATTATTTTTTGATATGTTGTTGATCCTATATGATGCTTTTTACACATAATACGCTGAGCATCTGGAATATTATTCTGAGCATTTCTAATTTCTTCAATAACTTCAGATGACAAGCGTCGGGCATCTGATCTAAGAAATTTATGAGTATGGGTTGTTTGTTTTTTGCTCATAGTTTGCTAGTAATAAATCTGTATAATACTAATAAAAAACTTGTAGAAAATTTATTTTATATTGGTCTGACATTGGTCTGGCATTAGTCTGGCATTGGTTTGTTATTTCAGGCAAAAAAATTATAAAATGCAATCATAATTTATATATTTTTTTAATTTTAATTCAAAACTTTATTACAATTTAAATTTATTTACACTTTTTAATTAAAAAAAAACAATTATACTAATTATACTTGAATACTTGAATAAATATATATAATATATAACTTCTACTAAAAGTAGCATAAAAATAAAATCACTTGTTTGCTTATACC